TAATACATCTCTTGTATTGTGAAGATATTCGTTCTCATGCATACCTTTCCACATACATACGCATACCTAAACGACGGTTCCTGCCTGTTTTGTGAGCACGTTTATGGCATGGTTTACTGAACGAGGGCCTTTTCAATACATATTTAATATCGAGGTTTTGCAGCGCCCTCTTAGCCACGGATCTATAAGTTCACCCAGTTTAATGACATACTGAGTGTGTGTGTGTGTGTGTGTACATATATATATATATATATATATATATATATATATATATATATATATATATATATATATATATATATATATATATAATATATATATATATATATATATATATATATATATATGTATATATATATATATATTATATATATATATATATATATATATATATATATATATATATATGTATATATATATATATATATATATATATATATATATATATATATATATATATATATATATATATATATATATATATATATATAATATATATATGCATACATGTTTGTGTCTATGTATATAAACAAGTGGACATATTTGATCATACAGATACATAAATAATGAGTGCATGTTTATATACACGTAAATATTGCTGAATATTTTCATACTATTTAGAAGTTGACTGCGCAGCAATGTATCTCACAGGAAGAATAACACAAAATTTAGTTTGTTAATTAAAACAAATGCCTGAATGATATTTATTTATTCAATAAAAGTTTTCTCTGCAATGTGACTGACTGGTGGAAAGGCATTAAATATTTCATAGTTATCTGACACATAAAGTTTACACATATGGATGTTCTTGGCGTAAGGATAAATTAAGATAGGATATTTACCCCCCCCCCCCTCTATAGCTTGTAGTGGGATATCAGTATAAGTACAAGTGGCTGTAAAAATAGGCGATATTTGATACATTTTTATACTATCTCACTTGTTCCATATGGTGTTGGGTGTAGGTCGTAAGATCAGTATAGCTAAGAATGACATTTAATTAGAAGGAATAGTTACTGTAATTTATAGATCGAATGACATTCAATTAGAAGGTGTGATATTTATGGTAATTTATAGTCATATTAGAGTAGTTACGGAGTAGAAATAAACAGATAGAGACGCTAAATTTTATCTTATAAAAGTAGATAAGTAGATAAGAATGATATTAATTAGAAGGTATAGTTATGTAATTTATAGATCATATTAGAGTAGTTACGGAGTAGAAATAAATAGATCGGAGTAGAGACGCTAGGATTTTATCTTATAAAAGTAGATAAGTAGATAAGAATGATATTAATTAGAAGGTATGTGTATATTTATAGTAATTTATAGATCATATTAGAGTAGTTACGGACAAGAAATAAATAGATCGTAGTAGAGACGCTAGGAATTTTATCTTATAAAAGTAGATAAGTAGATAAGAATATTCATTAGAAGGTATATGTATATTTATGGTAATTTATAGGTCATATTAGAGTAGTTACGGAGTAGAAATAAACAGATCGGACTAGAGACGCTAGGATTTTATCTTATAAAAGTAGATAAGTAGATAAGAATGACATTTAATTAGAAGGTATATTATGGTAATTATAGATCATATTAGAGTAGTTACGGGTTAGAGATAAGTAGATCGGAGTAGACACGCTAAGATTATCTTATAAAAGTAGATAAGTAGATAAGAATGATATTTAACTAGAAGGTATATGGATATTTATGGTAATTTATAGATCATATTAAAGTAGTTACGGAGTAGAGATAAGTAGATCGGAGTAGAGACGCTAGGATTTTATCTTATAAAAGTAGATAAGTAGATAAGAATGATGTTTAATTAGAAGGTATAGTTAGGGTAATTTATAGATCATATTAGAGTAGTTACGGAGTAGAGATAAATAGATCGGAGTAGAGATTATAAATGAATAAATAAATAAATAAATAAATAAATAAATAAATAAATAAATAAATAAATAAATAAATAAATAAATAAATAAATAAATAAATAAATCAGAGTAAAGACGCTAAGATTTTTTATAAAGACGGAGAAAGAGAGGGAAGATTTGCTCGCGGTTGAGATGGAGAAATCGCTGTCAGCTGATGAGGAAGGTTACCTGGGATTCGGCAACCACCAGAAGAGCTGATGATCATTGCAACACTCAAAGAAAATCCAAACAGGAGAGATGGTGTTGGAGAAAAGGAGAATATTATTTTTATTTTTCTTCTTTTCGTTTTTTTTTTTTTTTTAGTTTATAAGTTTTTTTCACCCTTTTTTTCTTTCTTTTTTTTTTTTTAGTTTATAAGTTGTTGTATTTTTTTTTAGTTTATAAAATGTTCTTTTTATTTTTCTTCTTTTCGTTTTTTTTCGTTTTATTTCGTTTTTCTTTCTTTTTTAAAAGTTTATAAGACGGGGCTGATTCGCAATATAACCTGAAGACAGGAACTCCACCCCATGTAAAAAAAAAAAAAAAAAAAAAAAAAATCTTAGGTATTTGTAGTTATGAAAGCTTACATAATCTCCGCTGTCTTTATGTAATTTGTATGTCAGCTGGCCTCGCTGACGCTTACTGACGCGCAGGTGTCTTGTCAATGATTATGTGGGCTGAACTGCGGAAAATTTTAATAACATTCAATTTTCGATAGAATGTTTGAAGAGAAATACTTATATAACAGAGAGATATGATATATTACAGGTTCTTTTAAAGATTAATGAATAATATAAAAAATAAAGAATAAAAATAATGAGAACCAATAATTGTGATAAAAATGCATTGCCATTGTGAAAAAATACGAACAAAAGAATCACAATAACGATAAAAAAGACATCGTATATCATTAAACTGAAAATAACAAACACTATGGACAAAATATCGTAGACAGATAAACATAAGTAGTTTAAAGTTATATATTAACAAAAATAGATCACCTTAGTGCGTGAGTGAGAGAATTATGAGTAAAACGGAAATTACGGACAACAGGTGATGGTGAGTAACTAAAAGGAGGGAGGGAGAGAGGAGAGGGAGGGAGGGAGGACAGAGGAGTGAGGGAGGAAGATAGGGGGAGGGAGAGAGGAGGGAAGGAGGGAGGGAGGAGGGAGGACAGAGGAAGGGAGAGAGGAAGGAGGGAGGGAGGAGGAGAAGAGGAGGGAGGGAGAGGAGAGAGAGGAAGGAGGGAGGGAGGACAGAGGGAGAGAGGAGGGAGGAGGGAGGGAAGAGGGAGGACAGAGGGATGGGGATAGGAAGGAAGGGAGGAGAGAAGAGAGGGAGTGAGAGAGGAGGGAGGGAGGAGGAGAGAGAGGGGTGAGAAGGAGGGAGGGAGGAGAAGAGGAGACAGAGGGAGGGAGGAGGAGAAGAGAGGAGGAGAGGAGGAGGAGGAAGAGGAGGAGAAAAAAAAGAGGAAAACAGGTGAGTACGTGAGTGTCTGAAGTCGCCAAAAGAGAGAGGATGAATATAATTTACTTGAATATTGTTGAAAATGTCTGATCAGACGCGTCAGCAGAAAAAGGTAGCGTGGAAATATTGAACTACCATAGACATTAACGATAAAAACAGTATGATTTGAAATAGATAGATAGATAGATAGGTAGAAGAGATAGATAGATAGATAGACAGGTAGAAAGAGATAGATAGATAGATAGACAGGTAGAAAGAGATAGATAGATAGATAGATAGGTAGAAAGAGATAGATAGATCGATAGACAGGTAGAAAGAGTTAGATAGAGAGAGATAGATAGAGAGAGAGAGAGTCAGCGAGCTAGCGAAGAGAGAGAGAGAGAGAGAGAGAGAGAGAGAGAGACAGACAGATAGAGAATAAGAGAGTGAAAGAGAGAAGAGAGAGAGAGAGAGAGAGAGAGAGAGAAGAAAAAGAAAAGAATACAGGAAAAAAAAAAAAAAACAGACAGGCAGAGATAGAGCGCGAGAGCCAAAGAAACCGACCGAAAACCTAAATTCCCCAAATTCCCAAACCGAACTGTACAACGAACTACGTAACACCTGGAACAAAATAACCATAGACGGGCGAGTTCTGAACACAGACCTGCGTACGTAAGTCATGACGTAATCAAATAGGAGATCTGAGTCACTGTCCCTCTCCACGCCTCGAGGTGCCAGTAATGGTTTTCCTTCTCTTTATTGTTTTTGTTTGTCTTTTGTTTGTCTTGATTTCTTTTATTTCTTTCTTCTTCTGATTTTCTTTAATTTCATCATATTGTTGTTGGTGTTATTTCTCTTCTTATTTCTTCTGATTCTCTCTCTCCTCTCCTCTCTCACCTCTGTCTCTCTTCTTCCTCTCCTCTCTCTCCTCTTCTCTCTCCTCTTTCTCTCTCTTCCTCTTCTCTTCTCTCTCCCTCCTTCCCTCTCCTCTTTCTCCCTTGCTCCCTCCTCTCTCTCTTTCTTCTCTCTTCCCTTCTCTCCTTCTTCTCCCTTCCTCTTCCTCTTCTCCTCCTCTTCTCCCTCTCTTCCCTCTCTCTCTCTCTTCTCTCCACTTCTCTCTCTCTCTCTCTCCTCTCTCCTCTCTCTCTCCTCTCTCTCTCTCTCTCTCTCTCTTCTCTCTTCTCCCTCGCTTTCTCTCTCTCTCTCTCCTCCTTCTTCTCTCTCTCTCTCTCTCTCTCTCTCTCTCTCTCTCTCTCTCTCCCTTGCTCCTTTCTCTCTCTCTCTCTCTCTCTCCCTCTTTCTCTCTCTCTCCCTTCCTCCCTTCTTCCCTCCCACTCCTCTCTCTCTCTCTCCCTCTCTCTCTCTCTCTCTCTCTCTCTCTCTCTCTCTCTCTCTCTCTCTCTCTCTCTCTCTCTCTCTCTCTCTCTCTTCTCCCTTCCCTCTCTCTTTCTCTCTCTCTCTCTTCCATTCTTTAACCAATACGGTTTACATCGAGGAGCTACTAATTGCTACCTGCAGCCAAAGAAATATTGGAAAAGGAGTTTCAATCCCTCTCCACGTCATCTATAGCATTTACTTTAATTGGTTTCTCTTTGAGGTAAACCCCCCTTTTTTTTTTTACTCTGAGAATGTATAGCCCTTTTGGAGATCTAAAAATAGGGGTAAAAATAACAATTTTATTACCGTTCCGAGGGCACTGATATCCCCTATAAGAGGAATGGGTGTTTCTCCATATACAGAGGGAGGTAAAGGTGCTTGGAGATGCCATACAGATATATTTCGGTGATTCGGTGGTTGAACGGGTATTGATGGCTCTGGTCCCTCTTAAAGGACTTAGGTTGATTGAAATAGATACAGGGAGATCGGGGGAATTATAGTACATGTTTTGTTATATTCTTGATCCGAGAATGAACACCGTTTGTCATGCACGTTGAATTAGCTAATTGCGTGTTTTGTACGTATGTAAAGGGTGTTACGACCCCCTTCCCCCCCTTCCCTGACCTAAATACGTATTTTGTACGTATGTAAAGGGTGTTACGACCCCCTTCCCCCCCTTCCCCATCCCTGAGAAGGTGAGGGGGCGGGCCAAGAGGAACAGAACCTGGGTGAGAAAAGCCCATTAGCAAGCCAGGGTAGATGAATAAGGGAGACGAGAGGAGGGAGGGGGTTGTACAGGTCGATAATTGTGCCATTACGAAGGAGCTTCTCACCCTTAAAACCCCTTTTTTTCTCGTTCGCTCTTTTCGAATGCCAGACCCTCACGCTTTGGTTCAGACGTCTGCACTTGAACGCCCAAAGAGCACTTGATTTCTCTGTCGTGGGGCGCCTTTCAGAAGCGGGCCGGGCTTGTTCACATCCATGCCCTAAGAGGCGCATAGGTCATCAGGCTAATCGGATACCCTTTAACCCGTCTTTATCCGATTCGTCCATCTCCTCTCCCTTATTCCCCTCTACGCGATTCCTTTGCCTCTCTATCCTTCTATCCACAACCGAAAAGTAAATGAGGAAACATGGGCCTCATTTGGTTTTTCGAGTAAATGATTTTTTTTTTTCCTTTTTAAATGAAGAGACATTTTTTCCTTTTTTCAAGTAAATGAGGAGACATTTTTTTTCCTTTTTCAAGTAAATTTTTTTCAAGCAAATGAAGACATTTTCTTCCTTTTAAATGAGACATTTTCTTCCTTTTTATGAAGACATTTTCTTCCTTTTTCAAGCAAATGAAGACATTTCTTCCTTTTTCAAGTAAATGACGATAGGCCTCATTCCTTTTTTTTTCTTTTTTTAATCAAATAAGAAATAGGCCTATTTTTTTCTTTTTTCCAAGTAAATGAGGAGATTTAGGCCTCATTTTTTTGTTTCCTTTTCCGAGTTAATGATGAAACATGGGGATCATTCCTCTTTTCCCTTTTTCAATTAAATAAGGAGACATAGGTCTATTTTTTTTCCTTTTTCAAGTAAATGAGGAGATATAGGCCTCATTCCTCTTTTTTCAATTTAATGAGGAGATCTCTTTTTTCAATAAATGAGGAATATAGGCCTCATTATTTTTTCATTTTCCAAGTTAATGAGGAAACATAGGCCTATTTTTTTCTTTTTCAAGTAAGTGAGGAGACATAGACCTCATTCCTTTTTTTTTCTTTTCTCTTTCAAGTGAAAGAGGAGACAAAGGCCTCATTCCTTTTTTTTTCCCTTTTCAAGTTAATGAGGAAACATAGGTGTTATTTCCCTTTTTTCTTCCTTTTTCAAGTAATGAGGAGATATAGGCCTCATTTTTTTCCTTTTTCAATTAATAAGGAGACATAGGCCTGATTCTTTTTCTTTCTTTTTCTTCTTTTTCAAGTAAATGAGGAAACATAGGCCTATATTTCCTTTTTTCAAGTAATGAGACATAGTCCTCATTCCTTTTTTCCCCTTTTCAGTTAAATAAGGAAACATAGGCCTGATTTTTTTTCTTTTCTTTTTCAAATGAGGAGACATAGGCCTCATTCTTTTTTTTTCCTTTTTCAAGTATATGAGGAGACATTTTCTTCCTTTTTCAAGTAAATGACGAGACATAGGCCTCATTCCTTTTTTCCCTTTTTCTCGAGGAGGCATAGGGAAGCCACGTAGAGAAGTGTCCTTCCGGGTGCATCCATCAGCCCAGGAGCCGAGTCCCGGGAGAAATAAGCAGGCCCGAGGGGGGAGGAGGAGGACGAGGCCGGAAGCGCGAGGGAAGCGAACGAGGAACGAGGGAACCGGCTTCTCTGGCTGGAAAACAAGGCCCGCGATGGAGAATAATTCACGAGGATGTGTTTACGGGGTTAGGTGGGAAGTGTGGCGCTTGGGCGTGGGGGGGGGGGGTTCTGCTCGTTCACACTCTCGCATACACATAAACACTCAGCTATTCATTCGCAACAACGCACACGCACACCAACACAAACGTAATATATATATATATATATATATATATATTATATATATATATATATATTATATATATATGTGTGTGTGTGTGTGTGTGTGTGTGTGTGTGTGTGTGTGTGTGTGTGTGTGTGTGTGTGTGTGTATGTATAAGCTAAGATAAAATGACACAGCAAAGGATCCAAAATCAAGTAATACAGGGAAAGTTTTATCAAATTAAGACAACGTTAGATTCCTCACACCCAGCGGCCGACATCTGATTTGAATTGACGCGTATACTTTCGTAATTAAAACCTTTTCTCTTGAGAGGAAAAGCTTTGACTTTTTTCCTATTGAACTGAATGTCTTCATCTTGCACGTGAATTATGCAATCTTCCCTGGCGCTGCTTGCATCACGCTTGAGCTCAGTTATTCTTTGCCAGGTGATCTACCAACGTTCCTCGGTTATGTATGTTGTATAAGCACCCACACACACATACACACACGCATACGCACACACACACACACACACATACACACACACACGCACACACTCACACACACACACACACACACACACATGCACACACCAACACACACCACACACACACACACACCACACACATACAACACCACACACACACACACACGGACAAACACACACATACACACACGCACACACACCAACACAAACACACACACGTTTGTCGAGAGGGCGGGTTCGGCTGTTAGATTAAGTATTGGCTATATATACCGCGTCCTGGACGGTCCTCGGGGACAGGGAGGCCAGTAAGTCAAGATCCCGAATCCGATCTTCCCTCCTTTCGGATCCCGGGAAAGGGAGACAGCCGTTGAAACGCGACCGGGGAGGCGCCCGGCACAGAGAGCACGACAATTTGCCTCCAGAGTGTATAAGCGAAGCCGGTGTGTCGGTTTCTGCCGTTCGTTTTTTTTTTTTTCATGAATCTGCTTGCTCTCTTACGCAAGACTTCTTTAGAGTTCATTGGCCTTGTGTATACAGGATGGCCTCGTCCTGTTGGTTTAGACGGAGTCGAGTTGCAGTCCATTTCATTAAGTTCTTTTCAGATGTTGGCTTTGCCGACAGAAGGCAATGTTTGGGGTTCTTAGAAGGGCAGTTCCAAGTTCAATCTCATACGGATGAATAAATAAGCAAATAATTGAATTCACATACATATATATGTGTGTTTGTTTATATACATATGCATATATATATATATAGATAGATAGATAGATAGATAGATAGATAGATAGATTAGATAGATAGATAGAGAGATAGGATAGATAGATAGATAATAGATAATTATATATTATATATATATATATATATATATATATATATATATATATATATATATATATATATATATAGAGAGAGAGAGAGAGAGAGAGAGAGAGAGAGAGAGAGAGAGAAAGATAGAGAAGAGAGAAAGAGAGATACATGCATATATATATATATATATATATATATATATATATATATATATATATTATATATATATATATATATATATATTATATATATGTATGTTATATATATATATATATATATATATATATATATATATATATGTATATATATGTATCTATATGTATATATATATATATATATATATATATATTATATATATATATATATGTATATATATATTACTATACATAATATGCATATATACAGAAAGAGACGAGAGACAGAGAGAAGGAGAGAGCGCGAGACAGGGAGATGGCTGTCTCAGGTAAAACACATCGGACCACTTTATACTCCTGCAAATTGCATGAGGTTCAGCGGCGGTCTGCCTCGCGCCTTCTAATCACCTCATGATTTTCCTGGATATGTTGGGAGGTGGGGGGGACGGGGGAAAGGGGGGGAAGGGGGGAGGGGGTAGGTTAGTCAAGGATTTTGGCTTCGTGGTTTATATAACAATAAGGCGGCGCTGGGGTATGTTTCACCCTCGATTCGTCAACAGAAACGTTCTATATCCAGCAGAAATCATTCAATTTCTTCTCTCTCTCTTCTCTCTCTCTTCTCTCTCTCTCTCTCTCTCTCTCTCTCTCTCTCTCTCTCTCTCTCTCTCTTCTCTTTCTCTCTCTCTCTCTCTCTCTCTCTCTCTCTCTCTCTCTCTCTCTCTCTCTCTCTCTCCTCTCTCTCTCTCTCTCTCTCTCTTCCCATGAATATACATGCAGCCAGATTTCCAAGATTACATCAGGAACTAATTTATGCATACATACGTTATGGTTACGTAAATACATACATACATACATACGTATATACATACATGCATACATACATGCGTACATACATACATACATACATGCATGCATACATGTATACGTACATGCATACATACATACATACATATAAACATACATACATATATATATATACATACATACATACATACATACACTTACATGTATACATAGATACATTTACATATATACATATATAGATACATACACAGAAAAAATACACACACACACGAACACACACACACGTATATGCATGTGTGTGAATGAAAGTAAATTGATACATAAATAAACTAATAAAACATTGAAAAATAACAAAAAGATTGCTTCGGGAATACTTGATTGTTATTTATATAAAAAAAGAACGATAACGAAAAACATGTCAAAAGCAAACGAACGGAATAAGTAAATTCATAAGTAGAGAGAAGAAGCAGACAGACATACGGAGACAGAGACAGAGACAGGGTGAGAGAGAGGGGGGGAAAGGTGAGATAGAG